CGGGGAAGTTCGATAGACGGGGCTGCATGGCCAAGGTTGTGCGGAGGAGATTGGACCTGGGCAGGGGATGATACGGAACTGACACTGACCATTCACCAGGCGGCCGGGGTGAAGTCGTAAAAAACAGCCACGGCAGCCAGCACATCAATAAAAAACGCAAGACAATGGACCCAGTTTGATGGGATGAGAGGAGCGAACTCCTTGCAGGAAAGGAAGGATTTTTACAAGATGCCAGCCCACAGATTAGAAATGGGAGGAATCCTAAGCAAAGGAGGTGACAGAAGGAGATTAAATTTATACGATTAACATTGTACGTTGTTCGAATTTCGCGCGACTTACCCATTAGGATACCAAGAAAAATAGGTTTGGCTAATCTTGCTAAAATTTAGTATCTACGAAGGTGGATAGTTATATGGAAAACCTAAAACTGGAATCGTTGTATGTAATTCCTTAAATTCATAGTGTCTAACCCCATTGGACACCCACACACATGAATGATTGATAGGACTTGGTCGAAAACTTTTTGGCACTTGTCCTTCCTTGCGATAAATTTCCCTTTTCGGTCGCTGCCAAATGTACGAGATTTACGAGCATATTTTGGTGAAAAACTTTCGAGGACCCAACAAAGCGACAACTAATGAGCTCCTGGAGGACTTGCTCGCCGCTCTTCATTAGGCTAATGAGCAGAGTGACGCCGCAAACTGCTGCACAGCTAATGTGTTAACATTAACGATTTAAGGTTAAAGTCGATCGGAAACTAGGAACAAAACACACCCCATTCCCGTTCAATGTCAACGCTACGTGTTTGGCATGCAAACCCAGAGAAAGGCGGAAAATCGGGTGGACCCGGAGTAAAAGTAAAACGCAGGAGGAAGCCCCCCAATCATTCGGCCATGCGATTACATGTGTGAACTATCGATTGAATTAAGACCAGCCGGAGCGGATGGGGGCGTATGCGAGCCACTTAAGCGTGTCGCTCGGCGCCGCTTCATCCTCGTCCTCGTCCTCATCCTCATCCTCATCCACTTGAGGAGCATCATAAAAAACGCACCACCCCGCACAGCAGATAGGCCAGGAGATATTCCGCACGCCGCACCATCCGATCCCATCGCTACACTGAGGGAAATCCTTCGTTTTTGTTCAAGCATTTGACTCCCTGAAAAACGGGCAAGATTTCGGATTTTCAAACAAATCGTTTAATACGGAGTAAAATAATTATAAGATAATAAACTTGTTCTATGCCCATATTATGTTAAAATCACTATTCCTTGCTGAAACATATACCATTAGTCATGGTTTTAGATATCAGAGCAAGAAATATGTGAGATGTCTTCTTTAAGTCACTTTTAGATGAAACATGCCGTCTGCATTTTTGTCCTCCCTAATACATATTTTTACACCTGACTGACACTCCTTTTTTCGCAGTGCACGTCTCATCAAACCCGTCACACGTCGCAGTGCAGGCATAAAAAGAGTGTCCCGAATGCACAGCATAATCAAGCGGTGTGTGTGTGTGTGTGGACCATAATAATGTTGACAATCATCCCAGTTGTCCGAGATGGTTTTACTTTGGGCTTGGGATCTGCCCCTAAGCACTGATTATGCCCAAGATGAACTTAGCCCATGGCCATGACAACTTACCGATTGTCATTGCCGTGTCTATAAATTTCATTTGACAAGATGCCGGCCACTCTACGGCGCTTCCCGAAGTCCCAGTGCTCTGCTGCTCATCCACTCTTGACATCCACTCAAGCTGCCTGCTCCCGGGACTTCGCTCGTGTCTGGCCTCCGGCTCAGAATGTGAAAGGGAGTTGGCGGAGGAGGAGCTGGGGGCAAGGAGACTCCCTGTCGCCGGCGATTTGCATCAGAATTTCATAATTATTGTTTAATCTGCACTTGAAGCCGAATCCCGAAATGTCGCAGATCTCGAGAGAAATGGGAGCATGAATTGCTATCGGATTGGTTGTGTGCCAAAAGGCCTGCGTGTGCACTTAATAAATGTGACAAAATAATGGCCGGGTAATATTTAAAATATAATATAGCTCTGTTCCACTCAGACAAGATTAGATAACCAATTCCAGGCAGAAGAAGCAGTGTATTTCAACAAAAAGAGCAATTAAATAAGTTATACCATTGATGAACAATAATGTAGAATTTAAAGTTCCTTTTTAAAAAGATACATATCCTGTGCCCATCTTGGATGCAATGTTTAGTTATTTCCTTAACCTCTGAATGATTTTCCTAGGAATTATGATTGTGTCCGAATCAAATTTTTTGTTGTCTGCCAGTCTTGATTCTTGATTCCGAATTCGGCTACAGTTATTTCCATTTTATTGCATGCTCGGAAAAAAGCGAAATTTGACACTTCCTGCTGGCCGAGAATTAAGCTAGAACAAAAAAATAAGTAAAGGGCAAAATAAATCAAAGAAAAATGTCCACTTGACTTGATGGCCATCGCCATCTCTTGGGCCAAAAAATCCAAAATTCATCAAAAACTCTTGCGCAACTTTGCGATCGAGTGCTTTCGTCTGGTTACATAAACTCCCAACAGATTCGAGTTCTTGGTAGGGCAGGAAACCCATATAATAAAATAAAAATAATAAATTCAAGACCCGATTCCGAAAACAGCGTCGCGGGCGACACCGCAAGAAGTGAAATCAATATTGAAATGAAAACAAACAGGCTAAAAGAACCGATTTTTATGAGGGACTCTTAACAGGCAAGGAGGTTTGGAATGTGACAAAATATGGCCATATCTCTGATTATTGCCGAATTACGCCGCCCCAACTGCATGCATCCCCTTTTAGGGCCGGCAGATGGCGATTGATCTGATGCTGATCCCCATGTCGCAGATTGTAATCCAATGCTGCACTTCGGCTGGAGCTCCTACTCCTCCAGTGCTCCTGCATGCGCCGTTACGCGACCCAAGTTTGTTGACAGAAGTTATCGGAGCCCGGAGGGATCGAAGTGTTTATTTTGATTCTTAAACTGTTGCCCGCGGTGGTCGTCATCGCTGGAAGCCCATTTATCCATGCCGACAGACCACACAGAGAATCCACTTCTCGGAAACCGTCGAGATGGGACCCCAAATCTATGAGGCAAGCTGAGACCTACGCGGTGGTTTCTAAAACCCAGATATGAATGAGATATACATAGATACGAGTATATATGGGCCATAATGGAATACATCATGACGCAGTGGAATACTATGAAAAACTGTGTTCAGACGAAGATCCCTCTATATTTACGAATTTGAATGTTCCAATTATCAATCAGGATGCAATAGTTTATTTGCTTTCAATAAAAATGTTGCACTCAAACTGAAATCTAACGTCAACTAGTCAGATTGCAATCCATAAGAAACCCTTGTCGTTGTTTGAAATCAAGACTTGTTCATTTAATTCGGTGGGCGACATAATTTTACTCCAAGTATGCGCTGAAAGGGAAATGACCAACAACACACAGACTTTGGTTTATTAATTAATTTAGATTTATTTATTACTAAATTGTTTTATGCACACTTATCAACTACTCACAATTGTTTTTAGTTAGTAATTAATCTTTAATCTTCCGGCTCAGTATTCGTGTGCTTCTTCTTGTTTCACAAAGACAGAAATCTGAATCCATTCAAAAAATCTTAAATTTACAGAACCTTCAGCTTTATACTATACGTAAGTGTGTGGGTGTATGTACATTATTTTCCATCATCGTTTTCAGTGCTCATTACATTGTATAGGATTTGTTTGTTAGTTTACTTCAGTTGAGTTTTGCTCTTCGGTTCGATCCAGTTTCATTTATACATCGGTTCTTCCAGTTTGCGGTGTTTAAACGTAATACAACCTTTAGTTTTATTAGATGTATGGCTGCTGAAGGGTTGGAGTTTTGTGGGGGTGTGGCTAAAACGGAAACGGAAACGGAAAGGGAAAGGGGAAGGGGATTGGGAAACACGGCCTCTAGGACAACTATCGCATCTATGATATTATAATTCGCTTCTGTTTCGCTTAATACTAGTAGAGAAACTAAGGCTAGAACTAATCAACAAATAAGCGTGTGTTACTAACTCGTACTTTGTAATAATGTAGCGATTGATAATCAGAAGCTGCTAGTTAATTTACCTTTTTGTTTTTGTTCCTTGCGTTTATACAATGTTTGTCCTTTATACATACGAGTTCCAATTAGTTTTATTTATAATCGATCTTTGCCTTAGTCAGACTGATAATCAGCAAAAGTTCCATCCACGCGCACTCTCTCTAACTTTTCTTTCTGTCTCATCTATCTCAATCTCTGTCGATCACTTTCCAAGTTCTCAAACTGATATTCATCGGAATTTATTGTCGCAATCAGAATAATGGCGAATTAAACGCTCGAAAAGCCCGAATCAAAAAGTTTATAGTAACATAGTTCAACAGAATTCATCGAAAAACGACTCATTTTTCAGCATTATTAATTAAATGGAAATGTTTTTAAATTAGTGAGGAAAAATGTGCTTAATGTAGTGACCTAATGTTATCTAAATCGCGTGAATAAATATCAACAGTGGTGGTAATGGGAATGCACTTCTCTTGAAAATCAAACCTAATTACTAAATTAATTTAAAGAATACACAAAAATGGGGATAGCTTACAATAACGCTTAATGTAACATAAATCATTTTGAATGGATAACAAACAGAATTTGAATTCTGACACCTAACCGTTTGGAAACGCTTTAACAAACATTTTTAGAAAACATGTTCTTTCGAGCGGAGACTATTTGAAAAACATTCTTGGAATCGTGCCAATTTACTTTACATTGTATCTAGGAAACGCTCATGGAAATGACCAACTCTTTGGGAAGTACCTTAAACTCGGAACGCTTTCTACTTAGTTGACCAGCTGCTGGGGATTCCACTGTGGACCCCGATGCTGGAGATGGAGTTGCTGATGGTGCTGCTGCTGCGAGGCGGACGATGAGGGTGCGGATGCGGATGCGGAGGAGCCGCTGGCCACTGCCAACTGGCGTCATAGGTAGAACTCCGGAGAGCTTTGGCTATCGCCGCCGGCGGATGTACCTCCTGGACCACCATTTGCCGCGCGCTGCAGACGCTGCATTAGGGCATCCCGCTCCTGGCAGACTCTCGAGTACTCCAGCTTCAGGCGGTGCAGATCCTGGTTGAGCACCCGGTTGGCCTTCTCCAGCTCGTGGCGCTGATGGAGTCGCTTAGATCGGCAGTTCTGGGCATAGCCGCGATTCTTCAGAGTGCGTCGCTTCTGCTTCAGACGCACTACCTCCTCCCGTGGGCATCCGTGGAGTCGCTTGTTCAGCTCCCGCACCGTCAACGTGGTCAGCATGTCGTCATTGAGGCAATCCTCCAACGTGGCATTACTGTAGGCACCCGAACAGGTTCTGGGCGACATGTTGTTCGAGGATCTGGTCGAGCTGGCGGAGAGTGGGCGGCAAGGTTGGAGGGCAGCCCGTGTGATGACGCAGGAGCCGCCACCCACGCTGCCGGGTCCACCGCTCCCGCTTCCACTGCCTCCTCCGCCCCCGCTGCTGCCACTCCCGTTGCTGGGCACTTGGGGCAGACAGGTGGGCGTCAGGGATCCCGAAGCACTGCCGTACGAATTCGAATGCATGTTGATGGGCGTCAGATCCAGATTGTGGAAGTGGTGGTGATGGTGATGCGGATACTTGCTCTGCTGCAGCATCACCTGGTGGGGATGACCGCCGTGTCCATGCGGATGATGCTGCGCCTGCATCAGCGGCTGTCCATGATGGTGGTGATGAGCTGCCGCCGCCTGCAGGGCGTAGTCCCGCTGCCTGTCCCACTCTTCCGCCTCCTCCTGGGAGCCCGGATAGGGCAAAGGTCGCAGATCCAGCGGCTGCTGGTCCGCCCGGATCGAGTTGGTCAGCCACATCATGTCGTGGCTCAGTCCGGCACTCACCGACGCTGCTCCGGCAGAGGCAGCAGCTGCAGCGGCGGCGGAGGCGGACACGGACACGGAACTTCCCGGTGTCCTGGCATAGTGGTGTGCGTAAGTCTGAGCCGGACAGCTGCTGCTGCCCGTGGGCGAGCCCACTACGGGCGGCGTTTCCGGCGGCGTTGAGGGCACTCCGCCCGGAACACCCGCTCCCGAAGATGTGTTCACCAGAATCGCCTGTCCGGGCAGTGGACCATACTGCTCTGGTGGCGGAGAGAGCGGCTGCAGGCGGCGTTCGTCCATGTGCCACTGGTGATGGCCGGAGAAGGACCTCAGCTTGATGTGCGGCGATGGAGAGACCTCGACTGCTCCGGCGGGTTCTGGTCCGGACAGAGGCAGCGAGTCCGGCTCATCATCCGGATTCGTGGGATCGCCGTGAATCGTCGTCCATTTGACCGCCACCGGCTGCGGCGGACTGTGATCCTCGCGCTTTACATGGCCAAGGGCCGTAACCTGGGACGCGGCGCCGGCTCCGTGCGCCTGGCCAGCTCCATTTCCGCCCACTTCCAGGTGGTGCAGATCGAACTCCTGCACGTACGTGTCGTTTATGGTGGGATCTTCCATTTTCATTGGATCGACCAGGGACCGGAGAGGGTCGATTACGGGTCTCACATGCAAGGGAGTGTCCGTGCTGATTGGTGGGTGGTGGTGGTAGTGGGTGGTCTCGAAGGTCAACTACGCGATCGGGGGCACGGAAGCAGACACTGGCGCTTTTCGCCTGGGGCTCAGCTTAGTTTTATCTTGTTCTCAGGATTTATATTACGTTTTTTAGGGTTTTCCCTAGAATCTTTCAGTTATTTACTGAAATACTTTAGTGTTTTTTTGGTTGCCGGCTTGTTAAATTTCGTTGTAAAAGATTGGCTTGATTTTTTATGATTTGAAATGTAAGTATGCTTCTATTAAAGCGATCACTTCTCGCACTTTGGGGCTTAATTCACTTATAAGCTCGCTCTCTTTCCAATTTTGCTCACTAATTTCGCGAACGCGCGTCCAATGTGAAAGAGTTAACGGTGGCGACTGAACTCCGGGTCCGGTTCAACTACGGCCGGACTGAATCTGACTGGAGGGTGGCTCTGCTCTGGAAGCTCTGCTCTGGATGCTCTGCTCCCTGCAACGCGCAGCGCGCGCACACCCATTCCCATTCCCGTTCCCAGTCCCATACCCACAGCACACCCACACACACCCATTCCTTTTCCCAACAGCCGACAAACAAAACGACTTGCCAAAACCAAAAAGCCGACCAGCACAACAACAACCAAACCCGAGCTCGAACGCCATTCGCTGATGGCTTTTTGCTGCGAAGGAACTCCGGCTGGAATCGTGGAAATGACAGTTCCTGTGGAAGGAAAGGGGCGGAGGGGCGAGGAAGGCACTTGTCCGCAAGAGAGAGCGGCAGAGAGCGAGCGCACAACAACAACAGTCAAGCCGGGAAAGCTTCGTAGATTCGGTGCACTGCACAGTGGGGTGGAAATAGCTAGTACTTGTTTGAAATAATTAAATATTTTTATATGCAAATTCTGGCAGCTCGAATGATCGCGAAACATTCTTGTAATTGTTTAAATTTGTTAAGTATTCTTAGTTGGAACCACCAATAACACATACCAAAAAGCCTACTTAACAAGCCAAACAAATTCAGCTCAACCTAAAAGCCATACAAAAGTTTTAATTCGGTGCAGTGCCTCATAATTTAATTGCTTTTAGTCGACGAACATTTGAGAGCACATATTAATAATTAACATATTAATATATAACATATATTACTAGCAAGCTATTTAATGAATAAAATAACTGAATACTTAAACATATAGCAATAAGTAATATAAAATAGCTATTCCTTTGTTTAGGAAATCCTGGGTACCAATCTCTGGACCACTGTGCAGGAGCGCAAATCTATGCTCTGGGGTTCCACTTTGCTGGTGGTGGAATGGCAACCGTTGGTGTGGCTGCTCTGCTGCTCGCTGTATTTTGGCGGAGCTCTTGAAGTAGGCGTTTTGAATTGCCATGGAGCGCATAAAAAATGGCACACATAGACACACGGACACACCTTATGCTGTCGTCGGCTCCGCCCACTTTGCCGCAGTGTGCGTGTGTGTATGTCGGTGTGGCTCTCCCAATTTGCGAGTGTGTTGGTGTCTGAATATTTATGAGCAACTACCACGGAAATTCCCACATAGCCCCATTTGCCGATTTCCAGTCTCATTTGGCTGGCCATCGCCACGAGCAGTCGGAGATGGAGATGGATGTACCCATATGTATATCCATATAGGAAAGTATCTGCAGGAGTGGGTCGCACAAACACAAGCACATCCACATCCACATCCACATCCAAATCCACGTCCACTGTTCCATTTTCCAGTGCATAAGTCAATGGGAGATGTTTTAGCCGAGATAAGTCGCTCGATTTGTTTTGGCTCGTATATAATACACTGCCCACTCCATGGGCATGTGTGTGTTTGCTTTGGCCAAAGGATTCCATGGTGCACAGGTGCATTTTTATGCTGAGCCAGCGGAAACGGAGCACAGACCTTAGGAGCCTCCGACGGCCCAACTTGGACACGGGCTGCTCTTGTTTTACTTTAATTTGGTCCCCTTTTTCTGGTTTTGTGTTTTGAGCAAATGTTTTGTCTTCGCTGGCCAAACAGATTGCTCTGATGTAATATTGTTGTGAGATATCGGAAGGCTTCCGCTTTGTTTGTGCAACAAGTTCTGGGTCTTCGGAAGGTGGACAGGTGTGGGTATGCGGACTGCTATGCCAATCCACCTTTTATATTAGAAGATTCCTAAAAATTAGAATGCTTTTTGTTTGCATATTTTACAAAAGATCTATGGTGCCAAAAACCACAAGGGCAGCGATTTCGAGAAACCCAGATGCTAACTCATGTACTCATTTTAAAAGATTTCTGCCATTTTAAATTGTTAAATTTAAAATGTTATATTAAAAGTGTTGCTTTAGTGTTGCGCCGAGAAAGATATGATGTTTTTAATATTATTGCTTATCGCCTTCTTAGAACAAGGTTCACCAAAATAAGCTTGAACACTCTTTTTTTATTTAGGGGAAAGATGAACATAGTTGAGGCAAACCTATATTCTTTGAATATTATTTATTCTTTAACTCATTCGTTAGCATCTATAAAATATATGATTTTCTGTTACACAAATGTTTTTAAGTATTTGTTGGGTGTATTGAAACTTTTTCTATTCGCCAGTGGAAAATTTCAATGAACTCCTTCCCCCAGAGAACTATTCCGTACTTGGTTAGCTTGCAGCCGCAAAAGTGACCACAAAACTTTGTTCCACTTGCTGCGACAACTGGGCCTTGTAGCCGAATCCACCTCCCACCCCCACCTCCCCCTTGACATTCCGGGCACACCCATTCTCCACGCAATTGTTGTGTCGAAAGAAATCGGCAAAGGGGCATAAGGGGCGGAAGATGGGATAAAACAGGACTCTCTGAGGCAGCAGCCCCTCTGCCAGCAGGAAAAACATAAAACAAAATCAAATCAACTGCTGTGGGTGGGAGGAGCGGGGGGAAATGCAAAGGGAAGTGAGAGTGGGAAGGGAGAGGGGGAGGGGAGTGCTGGGCTTCATTGAAGCTTGTCAAAATTAAATTGAACACAATCGAATTATCCTCTGTATGCTCCATTTGGTTGTCTGTGCTGATTTCCAGTAGATGCGGGGTTTGCGGCGATTCACCAGACAAGGATGAAAAATCGACGGTAGAAAGAGACAGCGGGATGGTCAGGCAGGAGCAGCACTTAAGCATATTAAAAAGGGTTAAAGGTGTGCAAATATTTACCTGCGGCCAATTAAAAATATTGTTAATAATCAACTGCGAATCGAGAGCAGTCAGTTGGCTGCAGTTCGGGCTTTCAGCCACGTGTTGGCAAACTTTTCGGGTTTCTTATTTGCACTTAACCCCGAGCCTGAAAGTATGCAATGATAAAGCTGGGGAAAAGGCAGTCCTGCGGAAATGAGGGTGTTCGGATCAGAAAGGCAGTGGTTTTTATTAGTAATCAAAATCTTTAAGCTTGGAAATAATACATTTAATTGTGCAAAGATCCCAATAGTACAAGTGTTAAACCTTTGTCTGCATTTAATTTATTTTAGAAATGCTTTGATTCATTGGTTCCCACGTCCATTTTCCTGGGCGTCTTTTTTCCATAAACTATTACTTTCGAATTCGCAGGTATGCCACAGTCACGTTACCTCGATTTTATAGCTCTCATTTGCATCCGTTCCGAACTTCCAGGGGCTTCGATTGTCAACTGGCGCTGAATCCGAGTGCAAATATTTGTACGCGATTCCTTTCAATTGCATTTCAATTGTTGCCGCTGATGATGATGTGTATGTGGATGTCAATAATGGTTTCCTCCCGCATCGAGTGAACGCATTTGACAATGTTTATTACGCCGGATTAGGCAGCATTACAACTTACTGGGGAAAAGGCGCTCTAACGTGGTCGCCACCCCGCCATCCGCCATCCCGCCATCCCGCCATGTGGGAATGTGATTGATTGTACCCGACAGTCCATCCCCATCCCCAGCGACCCCGGAGTCCCGCAGATCATCGCCTCAAGTGCACTTTGGGCACGAAGTAAAGTCGTGTTTTATCACAAGCGACTCCTGGTAAATCTACAGAAAATCGATTTTGAAAAAGCAAATAACGTTGACATGTTCACGTCAATTTACCTTCCGTACCCCAGTGGAAGCCACCCACCACCTCCTCTTTTATCCACAGGTCTCAGTGCACATCCCAGCGGGAGTGCAACTCCATTGGGGGTCGCCTTTGTGCTGCACAATGGATTGTTACCCGATGTATGCTCCTACTTTTCCAATATAGTTTTAATGCCTTCTGACTGGGGATCGAGCACAAGAGAGTCAATTTGTAGATAGACTGCAAGTTAGTGCATATAGGGCGTTACGTTTAAAAGTAGCTATGAATTAGTTAAATGGGCTTATTTTTTTTGTTAGTTATTAATTATTAAATCAAGATAATACTTAATTGAAGACTCACGTAATGGTATTCAGCAAATTAAACTAGTTAATCTAACTTTAAAATTCTCTATTTCCAAGCAAAACACAAAATTTCCCTACGTGATGTTTCAATACCTCATAATCAGATATTATTTCCATTGCCACACTCAGTTGGCAATCGGTAGTGCAAAGTAAATAAATTTCGCAACCATTTATCACTTGGGAGGTCCTTCGCCGAGCAAACAGACTCCGTCCTGCGGCAGGACCTGTGGTAATCGGTGTCTGTGGCAACAGGGCCATAACGATCCACCATTTATGCGGCTTACACCTTCGCCTCGGGCCCGGAATCGTCGTCTTCCGGAGTCAACAAATTGACAGCAAATATTTCAATTATTCTGCCCTGGTCCTTATTTATGGAAATCCCCCAAGACCGAACAATCCCCATTTCGCGGGGCATTGGGAAAATGACCCCCGTTCAGCCCAGTTGATGTTTGTTTACAAATCGCTGGACATAATTTATTTGCTCCCATTGTTTTGCCTAGGCCTGGAATCTGCCTGCCAATCGCCGCGTGATAAACGGCCTTCGGTGATAAGGAAACCGAATCGGGGTGTGAGTGAGGGGTTGATTCGGTCGGGGTCACCCTTGCCAGCTCATTAGGAAGCAATTATCCGTTTAGGGTTGCAAGCATACCTCCTGGGAGAGAGGGAAAAATTGAAGGTCAGGTACACTGTCAACGGATGTCAACGGATGTCAACTACTGTCAGTTTGACACTGCCTTCGGTGACAGTTGACATTCGGGGAAACGCCCTCAAATGTGTCGCTTGGATAATATGGCCAATTTCGGAGGTGAGCTGTAGATGAGTACGAAATGGGGAAGTTCTTTTGGGGATTGGGCTGCCTGCATGTCTACAGAATAATAATTTGGAGGTTATTTGAAGAGGAAATTGAGTTCAGTGCCTACTGAGAGATTACCAATGAGCTATTAAAGGATCAAACAAGGACAAATAAGTGCTTCTTTTAAAGTTAATTTAGCCCAGCGAACTAAGTGCTTATGAATGGATTCTGATACTCGTTAGCTCAGTTAGAAGTTAATGTTCCTTAGTTACTGGTCAAAAAGATTAATTTTAGTTTCTCTCGTCCCGGAGTGATATATGTATAGATCCAAATCCCCAAGATATTGGCTACTTAAAAGACAACACATGTTGGAGAAGGCGAATCCTTTGCCCTTCTGACCGCCTTCTTTGTTTTTCAATAAAACTCGAATAAATTCAGTTTGTAAGCCATAAATTATGTCCAGTTCGGTTTCGCCTCACACACGTGTTGCCAGAAGCCAAAATGCCAAAAAGCCAACTAATAACGCGCATCGGTCGTGCCTCCCAAATGTAGGCTATGCGATGTGTGTTTTTTGTCCGAATGTTTTTTCCGTTCTGACTGCCACTGTGTTACTGTCCCCCCATAAATATTTGCGCAATAAATTTTTTAATCTTGTCGCTTTAATCGCACAAATGTCGCTGTCCTTTATACGCACTCACACAGCTGTCCAGCACGCACACAGATTATGGCCAGGCCCCACCCCAATCCAGCCACATACACATAATGCCAACCTAGACCCCCGGTAGCACCGAAATCAATTTCACTATCGTTGACCAAAGGGCACAGCAAGGCCACTGAGGGGAAAAGCGGGGATAGTAGACTGACTTTGGATGCCCTGCACTTGGGCACAGGCAAATCTGACAAGCAATATACTTTGATCAGGGAACAAAGCTTATAATAATCTAAAAAATATATATGTATATTATAAATACAAATATTATTAAATAAAATTAAATAAAATATTATTAAATATTATAAAAAAATTTATAAAAAGTCTATGCAAATAGGTAAAACAAAAACCATTTTTGAAATAATAACCAGAGTACCTAAAGGTCGAGACAGTGAGTCAGTACAGCCAAGCGATGTTCTTTACCGTTTTTACGCAGACGGCAACGACTTCCGGGGGACGGGGTGGCGATGAGACAACGGGATTCAATAAAAAATATCAAACATATTCGCAACGGTCAGATGGAGGAATCTCCAGCGCCCTCTCCCTCTCTCCCTCGCTCGGGCTCGATCTCCCCTCTCGCTCACATCCGGTGACAGGACGAGTGCAAACATATTTATGGCCGCCGACTGCATTTTATGCGTTGTCCAACACTCAATTACCATAACGGCGAATGGGCGTGCGGCTAGTTGTCTCGCTCTAGCACCTAACGCACTTTGCATACGAATCGCATAAAACTCGAAGGACCAATATGCTGTACATCCCAACCGAAACGAATCTTTTGCGGGCTGGCTGGGCCATTTGATTCGGTTAGGAGCAAATTATTATTGCCTATTGCCCTAAATTCGGTTGTGATAGCCGCTGGGTCATTGATGTGGCCACCAAATGTACGAGTATTGAGCATTACAGTTTAGGTCGCTTCCAACCTCAAATTGTTGGGATCATTAAATTAAATAAAAGTCGCTTTTAAAATTCTTTAATTTTAAAAATATCACCTCCTTCGCTTGAATCACTACATTACAGTTAAGTAGTACAAAATTACAAATAAGATATTCTGCTTTCCCTTTAATATTTTGAAAAGTCAACTGAGAGACCATTAGTGCCTAGTGCAGCATAGCATATCATTTTGAACAAAGCATTAAGCCTGGTCGAAGATGAATCCCAATTGCTCCATATCCTTTTGGATACTATTACCCGAACACTGCTCCTTGAGCATATCCAACCAGAGCGTATAAGAGTAATCCTCGTGCAAGCCACCATAGCTGAAACGGTGTTAGTTTAGTATATTTTTATAATTCTAGTAAATAATAATAATTAATAATTTCAATTCTTACCGCTTGGGAAGATGTTCCGGGTTGATGTGTTTGTGCAGGGAAGTCATATCACTGCCATGTATGTAGAGCCTTTCTCGCATGGCGGCATTGAGAAATGGCTTAAATATCTTGAATGCCGCGTTGAAGAGCCAATTCTGGTTTACAATATGGAGGGCGGATGTTCTAATGGGCATTGACGTCTGTAAGCAAAATAAAAGAAATAATAAACGGCCTAATGTCTACGGCAGCTCTACAACTTTACGTGTTATCTTACCACTAGCAGAGCAATCATCTTCTGAGCCACACTGGGACTCAGATGAAGTATGTGTTCTAAGCCCAGATCCTTCAGATCGAATATTCCCACTCCTCCGACGATCTGTGAGATGGGTTCCAAGCTGCCCAGTTCCTGCAGGATAATGGTGGCGCGGAATATATCGTCTACGGTTACTCGATTGGGTCGCCACAGTCCAAATCGGTAGATGAGTATCCTGTGGCCATGTTGATCGCGATAGGGAGTTACTGTCAGGATGTCCGATTGTCCCACATGTCGCAGATCCAGAGGACGGACCTTCTCATAAAAGCTTTTGTTCTGCTCCCGAAACTTGTAGTAACTGCAGAGCTGAAAGGGAAATCAATTTTTGCATTTGGCTTATAGATAATTACCAAATAATTTCCGTGCTCTTGGCAGCGCAAAATGAGGAAGTTCTTAAGGCGTCTTACCAATTTGTAACTGTTCTCGATTTTCCAGTAGCGGGCTCGTAGGAATTTCTCCAGGTACCTCGCATCATTTCGATGTGGCTGGCATTCATTGTGTTCTAAAGATGGGAAAAGGTTTGTTCAGATGAGCACCTATGACTTCTTAGGCTTATAACCAACGGATTATAACCAACGGATTATAACCAACCTAATATGTAGTTACGGAATTGTTCGATGACCTTATCCTTGGAACTGGGACATTCGCCCTGCTCCTGGGCAAGTCGCCGGATGTGCTCCGGCACCTCCTCCTCGGTGATGTTTAACTTGTGCTCGATGGTGGGCATGGTGCGGGATCCACTGCCGGTCGTCTAAAAAATGACCAAACTATAGATACAAAGTGGCCATAAGGGGATGCACTAGTAAACGCTCTTCGCTCGCGCAAAAAGTAAATAAACATAAATCCGGTTGAGAAAAACGCAATATGACTGCTAGCCACATTCGCCCCCCAGATTGACATTTAAATTTCAGGGCGATTTCGCATGCCACTGGTGGGTGATTTTCCTGTTGTTACCATTGATGGGCTGCGCTCCGCTCGACTCCAAGTGTGAAACTGAGCCCCCGAACGGAACGAGAATGGGGCCAAATGGTACCAGTCCCAGGCGAAATGCTGTTTGCCGTTACACATGTATGCGACCATTAAATATTAACTAGAAACCGAACAACAATGAACATCGCGATAGCGCGAAGGAGACAGCCAATAAGTGATAACAGTGTGTCACAGAGCTGGAGCTATATTTAGTGAATCTGCTATACTTAATTGATGGAGCGGGAACCCACATGAATTATAGATATTAATATATATATCTACCTCTAAGTCTTGTGCCATTTGTTTTATTTTGTATGCACTTGTTTTGTAGATCTCGTATATTTGGGGTTGTTTCCAGTAATAAATGTTAAAACAGGTTTAGCTTCAAATTAAAAAATGTATATATACATTTTATTTGCATAATACTTGACTTACACTTTAAAGAAATGCATACAAAGAACATTAAAACTTGAAATATCATTCGAAGTATAGTAAAATAATACTGACACTCAATACGAGAACATGTTAGACTGCAAGAAAACGCTTTTAGGTGGTTCTGTGCTCAGCATGCTCTCCAAAAGATGTGCTCTTGCAAAGTGTACTTCGCCCTGCCCTTGGCCGGAATTCCCCATTCCCGATTCCTATGCCTACACCCGAATCGCTGAGCCAGACCCAGCCTTGCCCTGGTGAACCCCGCGATTATGGAGGAGCCGCTCGCTGATAAGCTATTATCCACTGCGCTCCCAGTTCGCCAATGGCTAATCAGGTCACAGTGATGTGAGTTCGACACGTATTTGGCAGATAACTATGATGATGCCACCGCCATCTCAAAGTGCAGCACACACAAATTTCACACGTGGTGGCCGTGCAAAGTGCCTGGGTCAATATTTAATAATATTCAACGAATTCCAACTAATTACACATTATGCACTTTTAAGTACGGCTGATTGCAGTGCTGAAGCCCCACCATATAGTTCGGCTCAAGTGTTAATGAACCCGCCATTGTTGTCGTTAATTGTCTCTATGGATTCGATAACCACAAGATAATCACAAGAATAGTGGGCTCCATTAGAGTGTTTGATAATAAGCGATTATTTCACAGCCCCGCCTACCGGCAACACCTGTTTTATCACCCCATTAGTTCGGGGTCTCCACTTTCATTACCAGGTAATAATCCAATCCGAGTGGCGGTTACTGTTTCTGGTCACGGATTTTCCAGCTGGCAGTTCGGGGAATCCGGCTTAACGGAGATCGCACACAAGTGGCATCGCAGAAGCTTGGAAAGAAACTGAACGGGTATCGTTTAGAACAGAAGATTTTGAGAACAGAAGTCTCAATGGAAAAAGTCGAGAAAAAGCGCAGTAATAATGACTGTAAACCAGTATGCGAGAATGAGCAACCAGCATCTTAAAATAGGGAGAGCCAGCTCGATCACGCGACTATGGAAACACCCTTAAAAACGCAATGGAGTCCAGTTTGCCTATTAACAGTACAGATTTATCCCAAGCTCATTGCTAAGTGAAATTTTACAAATATTAGCATTGCCAAACCTTACACTTTGTAGCTCAGTTGTTATTAATTTAAGTTCACTCTGCTTAGAATTTTCCCATGCATCAGCTGAAATTCCCGACGTGGTAGGGTACAAACTGCACTCCGCATACAGAGAGATCTTAGCTGATGCTTGTCAAACGAGAATTAAAAGTATTTGAGGAGTAGAGAATAATTCTGGACGATATTTGATGCTGTGGAAGTTCAATGAGCTGCGATGACGTCATTGCGTGAAGGGTGCTCCATTACCCAAGCAGGAATTCCGAGTAATTCTCACAAGACAGAAATGCTTATCCAGACTGTTCTTCATTGTTTGCACTATTCAAAACATGTTTCTGTGCTGGAGTGAAAATGGCAACGGGATGGGGAGGAACATGCCCCTTTATGACGTCTTGTTGGGCAAGGTCAGTCAAAATGGCAGAAAGAAAACCTGTTCGCTTTTAGCCATGGTCTTGGCACTGACTGCCTGGCAATTGGATTTAAAATATTCATATTACCAGGTGGTTAATTGGAAAGCAATCTGCACGTCAACGTGAATTTGATATTTAATTGCACAACTGTCACTTTTCCTGCTATCTTATTTTGTCATGTAATTCGGTTTAGTTAGGAACATCAAATATTATGCATTGATATAGAAAAATATGTAGGAAGCATTGCATAGCTATGTGAAAGGATCATAATTTGAATAATTTGCATTAAATGTTTGCTAATTGGAATTCGAATCTGACTTTTTTTCTTGCTTACTTGTATTTCAATGGGTATTTATTATACTTTAAAAATTGTTGAAATGTAAATTACAAAACTTAAAACACTGCATCCGACAAGCGTAGCTTTTAAAAAGAATGGGACCCCTAAAAAGTTATTACTTTAATCTACAATTTTCAGAAATAACGGTTGCCGTACTCATCAACGTGATTGAGACAGAACTGAAAAGCGCGATTTCAGCGATCACGCCTTTAGCGGAGTCACCTACCACATCTAAAAGTTTACCTATCCGCACTTAGCGAAGACACCATCCAAAACAACACTAAAACTATAATTATCGATAGCGATGTCTTTCAAACATCGATTGGTGCCTTGCCAGCACTAAAACCAGTCTACTGCTCATTTGTTGTTAGTTGTGAAAAGTTGTTAAATGTGCTGTGCGTATTTTAATAGTTAGTTGCGAACTGTACAAGTTTTAGCGAAAAGCATTAGACGCGTGGGGCACATACAAATCGAAAATTGTAGTGCACCGCCTCGCTTTTCGCCTGCAACATCGAATTTTACCGCGCTTCGGTTGTCGGCGGCAGCAACAAAAAGCAGCAGAAACTTTACAATTTTTCAACCAGGTAAGGAATGTGAAATCAAGTTAATAAAAGTGCGTTGAGCCGGAAAGCAGGAAGACCGTGTCAAATAATACTTTATTATGATGGATATAGCTATTTTTCAGCAGCGTCGCCTGCAAAATAAAAATGGCGATACCGGTATAGATAGCACATTAAGCCGATTTTAGGCCTTCAAAAACTATAGTTGCGTGATTTCTTAGAGCCGAGCCCACATGTTTACCTGAATATGTTTACAATAAAGTGAAAACCCTTGGAAACCTTAAGCAAAACTTATAAATACCAGTGGATTACCGGCAAACGCCAATAAACACGCACACAGACGGACGCACGCCAAGCGTTGCCGCCAAAAAGACAGGGCTGTTATTTCAAAGTGTGCGGAATTTCTGTTCCCAGTACAGTAGCACCAGGCGAAATAATACTTTAGTTGCAATTTATCAGTTGATCTGCGGTAATCTCCATTTATCGCACCCAACGTATTCCCATTTGGCCTAGTCCCACTCCATTGCGGCGTTCGTCTGGTCGGAATTCACTCATTGCGCGGGCGCGCGTTTTTTTTTTTCTTTCCGCCGTGGGTACAGTGTGCATTCATTAATAAAAATTTGTGAAGAGCAGTGCCACATACCTCTGCACAACCGTTACCGGTATTGAGACCATTAAACATAATTGGTTGCCATCAGATAATTTGTTTAATACATTTTAATAGTAATATTAAGAATAATATTAATATTAGCTTCTGTTGACTGATGGACACTGTAGTCTTCTGCTGTTCGCTTTGATTTTTTTTACTTAGTAAAACGTAGACAAAGTCATTAACATTACCTAAGGCTATGGCTCGGAATAGTTCGGCGTACAGTTGCTTCAATAAACTAACAAATGATTTCTTTTTGCCCCTCGAAGATCCAGCTTAAGCACAGCGCCTGTATCATCATGGAGAACGGAAACAAGGGCATGTCCATCGAACAGATGTACCAGAAGAAGTCGCAGCTGGAGCATATCCTCCTCCGACCCGACTCGTACATCGGTTCCGTGGAGTTCACCAAGGAGCTGATGTGGGTGTATGACAACTCGCAAAACCGGATGGTCCAGAGGGAGATATCTTTCGTGCCCGGCCTGTACAAGATCTTCGACGAGATCCTTGTGAATGCTGCTGATAACAAGCAGCGCGACAAGAGCATGAACACCATTAAGATCGACATCGATCCGGAGCGCAATATTGTGTCCGTGTGGAACAACGGCCAGGGTATTCCGGTGACCATGCATAAGGAGCAGAAGATGTACGTGCCCACGATGATCTTTGGTCATCTGCTGACCTCATCGAACTACAACGACGATGAGAAGAAGGTCACTGGAGGCAGGAACGGATACGGAGCGAAGCTCTGCAACATATTCTCCACCAGCTTCACCGTGGAGACTGCCACGAGGGAATACAAGAAAAGCTTCAAGCAGACTTGGGGCAACAACATGGGAAAAGCCTCCGATGTGCAGGTAAGCGAATATCATTTATTTTTTATGACCATCATCTTATCCTCAGTAAACCCACAGATCAAAGACTTCAATGGCACTGACTACACTCGCATCACATTCAGTCCCGATCTGGCCAAGTTCAAGATGGAGAGTCTCGATGAAGACATTGTGGCTCTGATGTCGCGTCGCGCCTACGATGTGGCCGCCTCGTCCAAGGGCGTATCCGTCTTCCTGAACGGCAATAAACTGGCTGTACGCAACTTTAAGGACTACATTGATTTGCACGTTAAGAGCACGGACGACGACTCTGGCCCACCGATCAAGATAGTCCACGAGGTTGCCAACGAGCGTTGGGAGGTGGCCTGCTGTCCTTCGGATCGTGGCTTCCAACAGGTCTCGTTCGTCAACTCAATAGCTACTTACAAGGGCGGTCGCCATGTGGACCATGTGGTTGACAATCTCATCAAGCAGCTTCTCGAGGTTCTAAAGAAAAAGAACAAAGGTAATTTTAAGATTTCGTATTACTTTAAACTACAACTAATACTTGTTTTTATCTCTTCCAGGTGGCATCAACATCAAGCCATTCCAGGTCCGAAACCATCTGTGGGTATTCGTCAACTGTTTGATAGAGAACCCCACTTTCGACTCGCAGACCAAGGAGAACATGACTCTGCAACAAAAAGGCTTCGGCTCCAAGTGCACCCTCTCAGAAAAGTTCATCAACAACATGTCAAAGTCTGGCATTGTGGAGTCTGTGCTGGCGTGGGCCAAGTTCAAGGCCCAAAATGACATTGCCAAGACGGGCGGTCGCAAGTCAAGCAAGATCAAGGGCATTCCCAAGCTGGAGGACGCTAACGAGGCTGGTGGAAAGAATTCTATTAACTGCACGCTCATCCTCACTGAGGGAGACTCAGCCAAGTCATTGGCTGTATCCGGTCTGGGCGTCATTGGCCGGAATTTCTACGGCGTGTTCCCACTTAGGGGCAAACTTCTAAATGTGCGGGAAGCTAATTTCAAACAGCTTTCGGAGAATGCGGAAATTAATAATTTGTGCAAGATCATCGGTTTGCAATACAAAAAGAAGTATCTCACGGAGGACGATCTGAAAACACTGCGGTATGGCAAAGTGATGATCATGACAGATCAGGATCAGGACGGCTCCCACATCAAGGGTCTCTTGATCAACTTCATCCACACCAATTGGCCAGAGCTTCTGCGTCTGCCTTTCCTTGAGGAGTTCATTACACCCATTGTGAAGGCAACAAAAAAAAACGAGGAGTTGTCCTTCTACTCGCTTCCCGAGTTTGAGGAGTGGAAAAATGATACAGCTAATCACCATACGTACAATATCAAGTACTATAAGGGTTTGGGTACTTCGACCTCCAAGGAGGCGAAAGAATATTTCCAAGATATGGAACGCCATCGCATCTTATTTAAGTACGATGGGTCGGTGGATGATGAAAGCATTGTTATGGCCTTCTCCAAGAAACACATCGAGTCGAGGAAGGTATGGCTTACTAACCACATGGACGAGGTGAAGCGTCGCAAGGAGCTCGGCTTGCCAGAGCGATATCTGTACACTAAGGGCACCAAGCACATCTCCTATGCGGACTTCATCAATCTGGAGTTGGTGCTTTTCTCAAATGCTGACAATGAGCGCTCCATTCCTAGTCTAGTGGATGGCTTAAAGCCGGGTCAGCGGAAAGTGATGTTCACTTGCTTTAAGAGAAACGACAAGCGTGAGGTGAAGGTAGCCCAGCTATCCGGATCGGTGGCAGAGATGTCGGCCTACCACCACGGAGAGGTATCCCTGCAGATGACAATCGTGAATCTGGCCCAGAATTTTGTGGGTGCCAACAACATCAATCTGCTTGAGCCACGCGGTCAATTTGGTACCCGCTTGACGGGAGGTAAAGACTGTGCCAGCGCTCGTTACATTTTCACATTAATGTCTCCTTTGACGCGACTCATCTACCATCCATTGGACGATCCGCTTTTGGACTACCAGGTGGACGATGGCCAAAAGATCGAGCCTCAGTGGTATCTCCCCATCATACCGATGGTATTGGTAAACGGAGCCGAGGGTATCGGAACTGGATGGTCCACGAAGATATCCAACCACAATCCTCGTGAGATTATGAGCAATCTAAGGAAGATGATAAACGGAGAAGAGCCAAAAGTAATGCATCCGTGGTACAAGAACTTTACAGGACGCATGGAGTACGTGTCGGATGGCCGTTATGTTCAGACTGGTAACATACAAATTTTGCCAGGAAACCGAGCAGAAATCACTGAACTTCCTGTGGGCGTTTGGACGCAAAACTACAAAGAAAATGTGCTGGAGCCGTTGGCGAACGGCACCGAAAAGGTTAAGGCCATTATTTCGGACTACAGGGAGTATCACACAGACACCACCGTGCGCTTTGTGATCTCCTTCGCACCTGGAGAATTTGAGCGCATTCAAGCCGAGGATGGTGGCTT